TTTTTTGGTACTGAGGATTGAACTCAGGTCCTTCTGTTAGCAAGGCAGGCAGCAGAACCACTGAGCTAAATCCCCGGCCCAAATTACATTTTTTTTTTAAAAGACAGGGTCTCCCTGTGTAGTTCAGGCTGCTATTGAACTTACTATGTAGCCCAGCTGTCCTTGAACTCGCAGTGATTTTCCTGCCTCAGCTTCCTGAGTGCTGGGTTTACAGGTGTGTGCCACCACGTCTGGCTAGCCTAAATTAGAGTAAGACCCTGTCTTAAAAAAGAAAAATTACTTTTAATTAAAAATTGTCAATTAGGGCCAGGGATTGAGCTCAGGGATCTGAGTTCAATCCCTGGTACAAAAAAAAAAAAAAAAAAAAGGTGAAGTAATTATGCATATTTCCTTTTTTAGAGTTTGGAAAAATTATTTGTATATTATCTTAGTTCCTTGGATGTAAAAGAGGAAATTAAATGATCTTATCCTCTGCTCTGAGGAAGGAAGAACTGGGGGTTAAACCCTTGGAAGGAGATTAACTGACCAAACTGGCCGTTGGTGAGCTTGAGGGGAAGGGACTGGCCTCAGGTCAGAGGCAGATCATCAGAAGCTCCAGACTCGCGCCTGGATGTTGGCCATCCCATGTCTTCGTATTGGGGCCTATAGGATGACACCTAACACGCACACATAGTTTAGCGAAACATTTATTGCTGCATTTTAGATGTTCGTAATGGCAACACTCACCTAAAGGGAATTTGAACCTGTGCATGAAATAAATATTCTTTTTTTTCCCTTCCTCTCTCCGCCCCCTCCTCCTGTCCCTTTATACAAAAGCTTTGTTTCCATTTTTCCTTCTATTTTTTTATCCTTTCCTCCTCTCCTCCCCCCTCCCTTGTTCTTCTCATTTGAACATTTTCTTCCTAATTCCCTGTATCTAATTTTTTTTTCTTGGTACTAGGGATGGAATTCAGCACCTTGTCCTTGCAAGACAGGCATGGTGCCATTGAGCTAAATCCCTGACCTCATTGTCCTTATTTCCACTTTAACTTCTTATACCAGAGAAACAATGCAGTAAACATTGTGTCCTTTCCTGTAATCCCAGCACTGAGGAAGCTGAGGTGGGATAGTTGTGAATTCGAGTCTACCTGGGCCAAGATGAACTACATTGAGATGCCCTGTCTCAGCACCCACACCCCAATCGTGTGTCTGATTCACTTAAGAGTATGGTCTCAAGGTGCATCCATTTAGCTAGAAATGTCTCAAGCTCATCTTTCTTTATGGGAGACTAGTACTCTCGTATAAAAAATCTTCATTGGTTGATGGGCATTTGGGCTGTTTCCAAGATTTACCTATTACAAACTGCCTCTAAAAACATGAGTGATCGTATATTGTGGTAAGATGCTTTCAATTCTTTCAGGAAAGATACCAAGAAGGGGAATGGCTGGGTCAAGTTCCTATATATTACAATGCATTATTGTTGTAGAAGCTTTGATTTCTTCTTTAATTTCCTCTGGAACCCATTGGTTGTTTAGGAGGGTGTTATTTAATTTCTATGTGTTTATGAAGTGTTTATGAAGTTCTTGTGGTTTATTTGGCTATTGATTTCCAATTTCACTGCACTATGGTCTTATAATATATATGGGGTAATTCCAGTTCCTTTGCATTTAAAGCATGTCCTGTGAGCTAGTATGTGATCTGTTTTGGGGAACGGCCTTTGTGCAGCTGAGAAGAATGTATTCTGATATTGGGGAATGGAACACTGTAACCTTTTTTTTTTTCTTTTTTGCTGGGGGTACTGGAAATTGAACTCAGGGCCTTCCTTTGTCATGCAGGTGCTGCACCACTAAGCTTCTACATCTCTGGCCCCATAATGTTTTTAATCTGTATAATTTTGTCATCTCAAAAATGGCATATAAAAAGCTGGGCGTGGTGGTGCATGCCTGTAATTCCAGCACTTGGGGGGCTGAGGCAAGAAGATCGCTGTGAGTTCGTGAGTTTGAGACCACCCTGGGCTATATAGTGATTTCCAGGTTAGTCTCAACTACATAATGAGACCCTGTCTCAAAAAAAAAAGAAAAGAAAAAGAAAAAGAAATGGCATATAAACAGAACCTTAAATACAACTGGTGGCTTTTATTATTTAACACAATTCTCCAACCACATTCTTCTGTTTGAAATGCTTGTTTTTAGGAGCTGTAGGCATTCTTTTGCAGGTACATCTTGAAGTGTATAGTTTGACTTAAATTTTGCTGATATCGAGGAAAGACAGGTTCAGACAGAGCTCAGTCATCTGTTTTGTCATTTCGGTTACTAATGATGTTAGCAAAGATACTGAGATGTTCCCACTGCCAAATGGAAGATGACCTAACTTATTGATTATTGTGAATATTGAAATAGATAATAAATAAGTTTACCACACTGTAGGCCCCAACATACTTTACCCATTTCAGGTGTATTATCAGTGTTATTCATGTCAGTGTAAGAGAAAAAGACTGATTAGGTTGTGGCTTTTATATTGGAGGAGACTGATAGCCAGCAGCAACTATTTAATACAGTTACCATGATTATCCTTCTCTGCCGTACCACACTAGACATAATTGTGATGTTAGGGTTCTAATCCTGGGCCTCATGCATACTAGGCAAGCTCTTTTTCACTGACCTGTATACCCCTAGCATACTAGACTTTAATATTTTCAAACAAGAGGCTCTTCCTTCTTCCCCCTTTTTTTTTTTAACCTCTGACTCTATAGTTCACTTTAGTAAGCAGTTGTTAGCTCATGCATTCATCTGGCAAATGTGGCAGAGAAAATATGAACTGTTCTCACAAGTCTTTGTTCATTCCAGCAAAACAGAAATGTCATTCTATCCAAACCTCTCAACTCTAATGTTGTATTTTTAAGTTTGTTCTTCTCCCTCTCCATCTCCCTTCCCCCTTTCCTCCCCACTCCCCTTCATTCCCCTCCTCCCTCCCTCACTTTCTCTCTCTTTTTTTATGGGTATGGTGGATTGAACTTGGGACCTTGCACTTGTGATGCAGACGGTGGAATCTCTGAGCTAAATCCCTGGTCCTAAAATTCTTTTTTTTTGGTACCAGGCATTGAACTCACGACCTTGGGCTTGCAAGGCAGGCAGCAGAGCCACTGAGCTAAATCCCCAGCCCCTAAAGTTTATTCTTCATACCCTTTTTTTCTAATTATCTGTGAACTATTACTGTGAGATAATTAATACTTGTCCTTTGATCCCATTGTCCTGGTCACTGCAGGTCATGAAAATGTTTCATATGAATTCTGACAGCCAGGCATGGTGGTGCCTATCTGCAATTGTAGCACTCAAGAGGCTGCGTCAGGTGAGTTGCTGTCAGTTTAGGCCAGTCTGGGCTATATAGAGTGAGTTTAAGGCCAGCCAGAACTACATAGCAAGACCCTGTCTTAAAAACAGACAAACAAACAAAAAACCTTGGGCTTTGGGGATTTGACTCAGTGGTTCTGCCGCCTGTATTGAAAGTACAAGGGCCCAAGTTCAATCCCTAGCACCAAAAAAACAAAACAAAAACAAAAACAAACAGGCCTAGAATTAGTCACAGGTTTAATTACCAAGAAAAGATTTGTTTTTCAAAGTATGAGCACATTTTATTTATTTTTGTTACTGGGGATTAAACTCATGACCCTGTGCAGCTGAGAAGAATGTATTCTGATATTGGGTGATAGAACACTGTAACCTTTTTTCTTTTGTTGGGGGTACTGGGTAATTTTGTCATCTCAAAAATGGCAGATAAAAACCTGGGCATCGTGGTGCATGCCTGTAATTCCAGCACTCCAGAGGCTGAGGCAGGAAGGTCGCTGTGAGTTCATAAGACATGGTGCTACTGAGCTAAATCTCTGGTCTGAGCATTTTTTTATTTATTTTTTAATTTTAAATTGAATTTATTGGTACATTCTAGGTAGACAGTACGGTTACATTCATTACTGGGATCTTGTACCTTTACATGCCAGGTCTTGGTTCTCATTTTTTCCCCTTGTCCCCACCCTCCCTTCACCCCCTCCTACCATCTTCAAACACTTTAATTCCATTTTTACATTTTCTCATATTTTTTTCCTTTTCCCTTATTCCCCTTTCCCTATCCTTCTCACTGTCCCTACACCTTTGGTCCTTTTCTTCCTATTTCACATGAGTACTTTTTAAATTTGAGATATAAACAAGTAAATGTCTCAAAAATATGATGACTAACCTTGTGGCTTTAATGTTGTTAATAGTTTGTGGTTGTGATCTTATGCTAATGTAGACTACGTGCTTTGTTTCAGTAGATAGGTGATTATTTCAGTCGTGCTTAATTTTCAGAAATATGACTTTAGTGACCAAATATAGTTCTTCAGTTTAAGTGTGTGTCTGTCCCTGTACTGGGGATCGAACTAGGACATTGCGCTTACAAGGCAGGGACGGCACCACTGAGCTAAATCCACCCAAGCCCCCGTTTTTAAGACAGCATCTCTCTCTGCAGTTTAGGCTGCTCTCCAACTGGCCCCGATCCTCCTGCCTCAGCCTCCTCGAGTGCTGAGAATACAGGCATAAGTCACCACGCCTCAGAGTAATAATACACACAGGCTTTGCTGTAGACGCTCAGTATTGCCGCATTAACGTAAATTACAGCGGCTTGGTAGTTGCCTGCCGTGGAACACACGGAAAGAGACGTAAACGGGGCAGGACAGAGTCTCACAAATCATACCATGAGCCTTTGCGTTTCCTCTTTCTAGCAGTCGCTAGGGACAGGCGTCTCGTGATAACTACAAGCGCGGCAAGACTGCAACAGGACCTTTCCGCAAGAAGCGGAAGTGTGAGTTGGGGCGTCCTGCCAAGTTTAAGTTCAAAGCACCTGCAAGTGCTGTACCTTGAAGCTGGATGTGGCAAACATCTGGGCCTCCAAGTGCTGGGTGAAAACTGGTGTCATATTAACGAATCTGACCTGAGTTTTGGGTTTTTTTTTTGTACCGGGAATCGAATTCAGGTCCTTGTGCTTGCGAGGCAGGTGGCAGAACCACTGTGCTAAATCCCCGGCCTTCTGAGTTTTTAATGTAATTTTTCATGTTTGTCATCCATGTATAAGCATTCTGAGCTCTCTCACCCCTGCCCCCCATCCTGACCGTGTCTTCTCACGTGGCTTTTAGACTCAAGTGATTTCTGGTCAAGAAACAAAATCCTCCGTGGATTCATATGAAAATTGGTAGTAAAATCAGGCACACCTCCAAGCGGGGACTCATAAAGAATTACACGAGGGGCGGGGGATTTAGCTCAGTGGTTTCGCAGCCTGCCTTGCAAGCTTAAGGACCAGAGTTTGATCCCCAGAACCAAAAGAAAAAAACAACAAAAAACAAGAATTACACATGAGCTGCAGTGTATTTCTTCCAGGTGGCGTTCTTAAAATGATATTCTATATCAAGGTCAGAACATCCCACCATATCAGTTATAGTAACTGGCTGCATAGGTGGACATGCTTGAGAACCTCGATTCTTTTTTTCTGCGATACATACTAGCAAGTCAACAATAGACTGGACTCCTCAGTTTCGTGATAGGAAATATATTTCTTTTCCCCTTTTTTTTCTTTTTGTTTTGTTTTTTTTTAGATAGGGTCTCACTATTTAGTTGAGAGTGACCTGGAACTCGCTATGTAGCCCAGGCTGATCTCGAACTTGCAGTGATCCTCCTCCCTCAGCCTCCTGAGTGCTGGAATTACAGGTGTGCGCCAGCTTGGAAATATATTTCAAACGTAAATTTCCCACATATTTAAGAATGAATAGGTGTTAGGAGTTTAGCTGAGTGGTTGCCTGCACCTGCCTGGAAGAACATGGTCCTGAGTTTGACTCCCAGTACTAGGGGAAAAAAAGTGAGTATTATTTAGAGTCACTAAATTTATTTTTAATTTCTCACTGGTCTTTTTTTATTTTTGGTACCAGGGATTGAACTCGGGTCCTTGCACTTGTGAGGCAGGTGGTGGAACCACTGAGTTAAGTCTCTGGCCCAATTTCTCAGTTTTAATGTTTGATATATGATCGCACATGACTTGTGATTGGCTCTCATATGCAGCTGAGGACATGACGGTGGGTTTGAAATGACATCAACTTTAAATTCAACAGATGCTCCCACATACAAACCCAGAAAATATGAAGGGAGCTACAGTGTTTACAGATTTGTCAGGTGGGTAAGTTTAAATACTGTAACTAATTTACTCTTCATACTAGGGATTGAACCTTGGGCCTTTACACTGAATTATATCTTTCATTTTTCTGAGACAGGATTTCATTAAATTGCCTGGGGTGAGGTTGAACTTGCAAACCTCTTGGCTTAGCCTCCCAGAGTGCTGGGATTACTGGCAAGCATCACTACGTCCGGCTCACTGACCTGAAGCTAAAGTCAGTTTTATTTAAAGAAAATTTTGTTTTTGAGACATAGTCTGACTAGTCCAGACCATTGTCATGCATTACTAATTTTGTTTTCTTATTTAGTAATTTGTATTTTTATACCTTTTAACCATTACTGATATCTTAAGTATTGAGTGATTCCTATGTATAGCATTGTTACAGGTAATAAAGATACAGAAGCAACAATCAGCACCAAGGTCCTGAGTTTGATCCTTGGTATCAGAAAATAACAATCTTTCCCGTCAGGGAATATAAATTCTTTTTTTTTTTTCTTATTTTGAGACAGGGTCTTACTATGTAGTTGAGACTGAGCTGTAACTCACTATGTAACCCAGGCTAGTCTCAAACTCACAGTGATCCTCCTGCCTCAGCCTCCTGAGTGCTGGGATTATAGGTGTGCGCCCCCATGCCCGGCTCAGGGAATATAAATTCTAATATGTGAGACAGGTAAGATAAAAGTCAATATTGTAGCAATGATGACTATTTTTGCACTAAGTAGTTTTGTTATTTTTTTTTCTTTTAAAATTATATTCTATTTCACAGCTTTTGTTTTTGTTTTTTTTTTGAGATAGGGTCTTGCTATGTAGTTCAGGCTAGACTTGACTGTGTTACAGCCCAGACTAGACTCAAACTTGGGGTGATCTGCTGCCTTAGCCTTCTGAGTGCTGGGATTACAGGTATGCGCCACCACACTTGGGATAGAATAAATTCTCAACCATTTTTCCGTCAACTGGAGATAGTGTATTCATTTAGAGCCCTTACGGGAATGTAAAGATGCTGAATTGTTATGTATAAATTTTATTAATCTCTTTTTTAAAATTTTTATTTAATTTATTGGTATATTTTAGGTATACAGTACAGTTACATTCATCACTGGGATCTTGTACCTTTACATGCCAGCTCTTGGTTCTCATTTTTTCCCCTTGTCCCTGCCCCTCCCTTTGCCAGCTCCTCCCCTCCCTATTTATAAACACTTTATTTCCATTTTTTCATATTTTTTCTTTTCCCCTATTACCTTTCCCTTACCCTTCCCACTTTCCCTACACCTTTACTGATATTTACTAAAAAGGAACATTTAAAAGGAAAAGATGCACTTTAAACATAGCTAGGTGTGATGATACAGTCCTGTCATTTCTTTATACTAAGATCAGGATGATCAATGTTAAACTGCAAAATGCTGCTGTACCTGCTGCCATCTGCTGGCAAATTTCTTCATGAATTCCTGGCAGAAGGGAGGAATTACTGTCTGAAATCTTTCCCAGATATCCACTGATTCCAAAACTGTACTCATAATAGCACTCACTGTAACTTTTTCAGACTGTTGATACTGCTTTCAATCATGTATAAAAGCACCAGCCGCAAAATTACTGGGATCTTTGAACACATCAAGGTAGTACCACCAGCTTGTATTAGAAAATGTATTTTGATACTGTATCCCTAAAATGTACCAATAAACTCAATTAAAACTGAAAAAAAAAAGAAAATGTATTTTGAGGACTGGGGATTTAGCTCAGTGGTTTTTGCCACCTGCCTTGCAAACACAAGGTCCAGAGTTCGATCCACAGTACCAAAAAAAAAAAAAAAAAAAAAAAAAAAAGTCCTTGGAGCTATCAGCGACAGTTTTTTTTTTTTTTTTAAATCTGTATACCACAGTGCTTTGTTTCCTGTTTTTTGTTGTTTTTTTTTAAATGGTTCCCTGAATTGAACTCAGGACCTCCAGTTTGCCAGGCAGGTGGTGCCACTGAGCTACATCCCTGTCCCTTTTAATTTATAATTTCTTTGATGGAAAAACTTTTTGGTACTGGGGATTGAACTCGGGTTCTTGCACTTTTGAGACAGGCGGTGGCACCACTGAGCTACATCTCTGGCAGGAAAAACTAATATTTTTAATCTCTACCCTTGAATTCCCATGGAATCCCACTTTACTGACTGTATGCACTGACATTTATGATTCAAAGAGCTATTCAACAGGTATTTTATTGAAAACCAATGAAGCAAACTCACCATTTAGGGAAAAACTGACAGTGTTGTTTGCCAGTGATAAATTTGAGCTTTCAAGCCAAAAATTATGATCTTGAACCAGGCGTGGTAACACATGCTGTGATCCCAGCACTCAGGAGGCAGAGACAAGAAGATTGCCTCAAGTTGGAGACCAGGCTACGTTCCGTACTACCAGTAGCATGACAGCATTCCAGGAAGAATTTTCTAATAAGGTCAGTGGTGACAGTACTAAATATGATGTGGGAGACAGAACAGTGGCCCATAAGTATGTCCATGTCCTGATCTCTGAAACCTTTTGCCTTATATTCAAAAGGAAATCTGTAGATGCTGTTAAGGATTTTGAGATAGGGAGGTTATCCCGAGATCTGGCTGGGCCCAGTATAATCACAAAAGTCCTTCTCAAGGCAGGGAGGGTCAGAAAGGAGAGAAGATGCTACACTGCTGCTGTGGAGATAAGAACTAAGGAATGCAGGTAGCCTTAAGAAGCTACAAAAGCCTAGAGCCTCCAGAAGGAAGAGTTCCTGCTGACAAGCAGTGAAACTTACGATTTCTGACTACCAGACTGCAAGATATATCTTAGTGGTATTAAATCTAGAGTTTGTGGTAATTAGTTACAGCAGTTATCAGAAAACTACACATTGATATTTTGATGCTGTGTAATAAAAGTTTCACATTTTCTTAAATTTCATAATTCAACTTGACTGAATTGATCCTACTTCTCAGTTATGTGAAAGGACTCATCAGCAGTCAGTAATTAATTTTTAGTGAACCTGAAGACTCAAGGAAGTCTATCTTGGGAGTTGGTAAAAGGCTGTGCATACCTCATAAAGGAAAACGAGCCCAGATCCTAAACAGATGGAAGATGGGGGCTTTTATGATTGGGACCTAGCATTATAGCAACAATCCATTTTATTCTGTGAGTTTATAAACAGACCTAGGACTGAATGTTGATTTGGAGTGTCAGGAAGTGGCACAGGCTAGGTGAGAAGTGAGAAGAGAAGAGAGGGTTATCCTCTTAGGCTGGAGGAGTTGGGGTCTGAGAAGGGCGGAGCTCTCTGAATGGCTGGGCCTGTTTCTCCCACTGCTTCTAAACAGGGTTTTCTTTGAAATCTCAGGGTTCTGCAGTTTCAAGCCCCATTATTTTGTTCATTAGAACATTATTCTTTTCTAAAAGGCTTTTCTCTTTTCACCCTAGGTCTCCTCCCTCCCCAAATATGGTAGTAAGATGATGATGTACCTCATCTTGTTCCTTGGCTTCAGGAATAAGGTTTCTTGCTAACTCATGGTAATTCAAGTCACCTTCTTGAGGGTATGTACGGCAACTCTGTCTGTAGTAAAACTCCCTGTGATATAATCTCTTTCCTCCATTATCCCTTCCTATAATGATAGGGAAAACCTTAATAAGTGAAAATTTAGGAAATGTCACAATATAAGATAACTTCTGCCCCTCATCCTGCTTAGTTCAGAATCAACCAGTACTGGAGACACCTAGCGTCCCCACAAAAGTTTGTAAGTGAAAAGAACCATTGTTAGCTTTGTTAAAATCAAACAAGCTCCCTTCCCCCTGGCTAGAATAGGTAATTGAATGAATCTTAAAGGTAACTTCCCTGATAAAGAACTGCATCCGGGTTGGAATTCAGCTGCCTTGCTATCATGTTTTGGGTATCTGTGAAAATGCAGTGTAACCAACTGAGTAAGATCAAAGCTGTAAAACCCTATAAAAGTAAGAGTTGTAGCCCAATGGAGGAGACGATCAGGGCACCGCCAGTAGGTGTGATAGATCCCCATCGATGGAGTAAACTTTTTTATTTTACTTCCATTCTGCTGCCTCTCTGTGTGTCACTTGCTGTCTCCTTCTGTAACAATATAAGATGGCATTATTACATATTACCATCATTTATAGCTATTATGGCTTATATCTTGATGTCCCCCCAAAACCTCCTGTACTCATAGGTGGGGCTTTGCAGTGGTGACTAGATCATGAGTATTTGATTTATTTTTTTATTTTTTGTTTCTTGAGACAGGGTCTCACTATGTAGTGAGACTGACCTGGAACTCACTTTGTAGCCCAGGCTGGTCTCAAACTCACAGCGATCCTCCTGCCTCAGCCTCCCGAGTGCTGGGATTACAGGCGTGCACCACCACACCTGGCGATCATGATTATTTGATACTGAATCAATCCACTGATTGCTTTAGCATAGTTCTGAGTATGGGTGATGAATTTACTAAGGAAGGAAAATGCACCTTAGGTGTGGATGGTGACAACCAACAGTCTTATACCTCTGGTGGAATTAAAAGGGAAATAAGAAAAAAGGTTTGCTGCTTCCTGCCTGCTGTACCATGGACTATTTCTCCTGCGATGCCCCTGTGAGTGCTCTCTCTTGCAGCCAGCCCACTATACACTGAAACCTCTACAAAGTGGGCTAAAATAAACCTTCCCTCCTTTAACTTTTGGGTCTTTGGTATTTTGTCCCAGCAATGATAAAGTAAGACAATAGCCTTTAAATATAAAAATGTGTGTTTAAATACTTTGTGTTTCTAGTTGTGTTTAACAGGAAATGGATAGAATCTTGGGTTTAAGAAGGAGGAAGAATCCCAGCCAGGGCTGACTAAAAGGGAAACAGGGACCTTGTTTCTCCAGAGACAGGATTCTGTGTTTGGTATGCGTACTGGGCAGATGGGTAAGTGGTGCTACAGATTATATAGTCTGAAGAATTGTTATCTTGGGTCATGGAACATTTTGAGATTTGCATGTATGTAGGGACAATTGTTCTTTAAGCTTTAATTCATTAATCCATTTCAGATTCCATTGGCATCTAAAAATAAAAAGGAGTGAACTTCGCACAAAGAATTTCAATCTGGGAAGCAGGATATCATTTGAGACTTTTTTTTTGGTACTGGGGAGCAAACTCGGGTCCTTGTGCTTGTGAGGCAGGCCCCGGAACCTGAGACTTTTTCAAAAAAGTTGTCAATCTGTCTCTGGAACAGTTATTTGCGTTAATTCTGTATATTTGGTTTCTATTATTCTGTCAGTGCAGTAATACCAAGAAAGTTGGTTGTTTTGTTGTTGTTGAGTTGTAGGGTTTTGAAAATATATTTTGAATATCAACCCCTCAGATCAGTGATTTAGTTATTTTCTGCCATTTCATAGATAACTTTTAACTCTGTTGATAAGTGTCCTTTTATGCACAGGAGTTTTACATTTTGATGAATTTCAGCTAGTCTTTTACTTTTGTTACAAGAAATTATTGCCAAATTCATAACCTGAATCATTTCCCCTATATTTTCTGTAAGACTTAAAGTCTCACTTCCACTCCACGGAGCGCGAACAGCTGAAAGGGCTTCCGCGATGCTGAGTCCTATAGCCCAACGATGGCTCCGGAGGCAAGACCCAGGGCCTTACTTCCGGAAGCCGTGAACAGCCAAAAAGGCCTCCACGATGCTGGGCCCTAACACCCAGCGAGGCTCTGGGAGCTCGACGGAAAAATGAGAAACCCAGGAGGGAACACACCAGGCTAGATGGTAAATAGACCTTTATGATGGCACTCCCCGAGCCAGGTAGCTCAGACAGGCAACTGCTCAGGGGCTGAGGTACTTTTTATAAGGTTTTTCTAAACGAAGAGTAAGGGAATTCACAGAACAAGACCGCAAACACATTGCTTATTTTATGCAGGAAATGTTCTATGGTCACCTTTTGTCATACCATTTGCCCCTGGGCAGGCTGTTAACCAAGGTAGCAATTAGCATATGAAGAAGCACAGTCTGGCCTATTAGCATGGAGTCACTTTAGCTTATTCAAGTCTTACATTTTCCTTCTAAGAATTATATAGTTTTGAGTGTTAGCTAGGTCTTTATACCATTTGGTGAAAATTTTTTTTTTTCCAGTACCAGGGATCAAACTGAGGACCTTGTACTTGCCAGGCAGGCATGGCACCACTGAGCTGTATCTCCAGCCCTGGAGACAGTTCTTGTGCATGATATAAGATAAGGTAAGGGCTCAACTTTCATTCTTTTGCAGGTGGGTATTCAGTTTTCCTGGCACCATTTACTAAACAACTGCCCTTTCCCTATTAAATGGTCTTACCACTCTTATCAAATATTTATAATAACTTTGAACTCAGAACATGTAAGACTTATTTTTTTTCCATTATTGTTTAGTTATGCACTATCCCTTGATTTTATGATTTCAGGATACATTTTTCTATTGCTACAAAGAGTATACTATTGAGATTATGAGAAAGATGGCATTAAATCTTTGTATCATTTTGGGTCTTATTGATGTAGTGATATTTAGTCTTCCAAACCATAAACACGTTTTTTTTCTATTTATTTATATTATCATTATTTCAATATTTTGTAGTTTTCCAAGTATTATTCTTTCACCTTCTTAGTAAGTTTATTTCTGTTATTTTATTCTTTTCATGATTTTTTTTTTCCTTTGGTACTGGAGATCAAACTTTGGATTTTGCATTTGTGAGGCAGGGAGTGGAACCACTGAGCTAAATCCCTGGCCCTTTTTATGCTATTTTAAATGGAACTTTTCAAGTATTCAGATTGTTAGTGTATAAAATCTGCTGATTTTTTGGATCCTGCAATTTTGTTTAATATATCTTTTTAAGTCTCGTTCATCAGCTCTAATAGAACACTTGCTAGTAGACATATTCATTGTTCTAATTTAATGTTTATTTTTTTCTTGTGGTACTGGGGATTGAACTCGGGACTTGTGTTTATGGGACAGGTGGCAGCACCACTGAGCTAAATTCCTGGCCCCACTGTCCTAATTTAAAATTAATTGCTTTTGCTATTTACAATTAAACTATGTTTATGGAGAGTCTTCTTTGCAGATAACATCATAAAAGTTTAGGGCCAGGGATGTGGCTCAGTGGTGCCACTGCCTGCCTCACAGGTGCAAGGTGCTGAGTTTGGTCCCTGGTAGCAAACAGTTTAAAACTCCCTTCTGAAGTTTAAAAAAAAAAAAAAAGGAAATTAAAGCTGGGAATGTTGGCACATTCCTGTGATCCCAGCAATCTGGGAGACTCAGGCATGAGGATGGAAAGTTTAAACTAGGATGGGCAGCTAAGTTACTTAATGAGACACTGTCTCAAAATAAAGAGAGGGGTGGTGGGAGAGGGAGGGAGAGACAAGACAGACAGAAAG